AGCCTCACTGTGTCTCTGGCACACAGGCATCAAGGGTCTCTGTTCAGGGGATTCATCCCCCCCAGGTAACAGCCACCATCTCACCAAGGACATGCAACCCGCAGCCCCACACCGAGAGCTCTGCTTGCATCGCCTCCCACGATCCTCCCAGAACCCTCGCAGGAGTCCCACTTTCTAGATGAGCAAAATGGTTCCGAGAGGTTGCCCAAGCCCTGGACTTCGAGAGGTAGCACCGAGACGCGATCCCCGCCAGACACGTGGCGCCTCCTCCCCTGGGCCGGGCAGCCTCCCAGGCCCGGCCCCTGCAGAAGCCCTCTCTCACGCTCAATTGTCTTGCTTCCCCAGTAAAATGGACTGAACCAGTCCATTCTTCCCAGTCTGCCTGAGAGCCTTGCTGGGTCTAAATCGCTGCAAACCCTGTCAATCCCTGGCCTGAGGTAACTGGGCGCTTTACAGACAGAGCTGCTGGCGCCCAGGCTGGGAGGCTCACCCAGTCATTCCACAACCGACAGGAGGCCAGGGCCACCCTGGCACCAGTCAGAAAGGTGAGGCTGGCTGGGGACCCAGCGAGTTAAAAAGAAAACCAGCCCCAACCTCCCAGGCAAGCAAGCCTGGCAACATGAGAGCACGTGTTTGCTCCTCATGCAACGAAAAATGTAAGCGCCTCCCCCTAGGTCGGGCTCCGGGGCTGCTCGGTGGGAGCGCACAGCCCACCCTGTGGTGGAGCGCCCGCCAAGCGCAGGGACTGTGGTGTGTCTCCACCGTCTGGGCACTGGCAACCCAAGGGTGAGTTAATACAATAATGCATTATTACTAACAAAGTAATAAATGTGAGGATAAAGTCAACAAACCACTCGGCTTGGGCACCACCCAGGACAATCATGGCAGACACCAGCTAGTCATTTGGCCCATCCACCCGCCCACCCACTCATTTACCCATGCCCCCTGCATCCCCCAGTGTTCAGGGAACACCTATGTGCCAGGTGCTGGGTAAGCCCTCTGATGCCTACCTGCACCCTCAACCTGATGGAGCAAGAAAACTGAGACAGGTGTGAGGGCTGGTAGGGAAGTTACTGGGCAGCCCAGGGCATTTTCACAACTTGCCTCCTGTAGGGGCAGGCGGTCAAGAAGCCATTCAGGACCGAGGCAGTCGAGAGTCAGGCTGGGGAGCCAGGCCAGGTTCTCAGCCAGGCTGCCTCTCACAGCAGCCGTGTGACTTTCGACTTCTCCCCAGAGAGTCTGAGGGCCTGAGGAGACTGCAGCCTGCACCCGAAGCTCACTTCTGCACACACTGTCTTCTTAATCCTACAGGGTAGCGCTCACACCGCCCCCATTTTACAGAGAAAGAAACCAAGACTCAGAGTGAGTTGTAGGGCTCAGACTGGGCACCCAGGGCTCACGGTGTAAGGAGCACCCACCTCAGGTGCCCGCCCTGCCCCTGTGCAAGCCTGAATGAGCAGCCCCATGCATCTTCAGCCCTAGGTGCCTTGCCCAGCCCCAGCCCTGTTGAGTTGCATTGAGATTGTAGCCAGGTCTTCTGACTTGAACCCCATGCCCATTCTGTAGAGTTTATAGGCAGGAACACTGTTTCTCTACCTCAGTTTCTCCATCTGTAACATGGGGTTTGTAGTGAGGATCTGCTCAACTGCACGCCTGGCCGGTGGGATGCTGTGTGGACAAGAACAGTCCCCAGGGGGGATCCTGTCCGCTCCAGCTTGTCCTCACTTCATCCACAGCAGTGCCCACCCACCTTTCCCACCCGGGAAGCTGGCCTGGATGTTTATTTGGTTATTAGATAACCAGGCCTGGGCACCATTTCTTTGATCAGACACCCCTGATAATGAGCAGGGGAAGCAGACCATTTTATAGCAAGATTTTGTGAGGTGATCTTATCTTCCTGTGGTGTTTTGAACAGAGACAAGGATAAGGAGGGAGGGGGTTGGTGGGGAGAGAAGGGAAGAGGCCCCCTTCTGCCACGCTTGCCTTTGGCCGCACCCCACACTCTGCCTTGGCAGGAGGGGCGGGACATCATGGCAGAGCATGGACGCCCGGCCCCCCGGTCCCGTCATGGACATCTGCCTCCTGGCCACCTCCCCCACGACGGCTGTGTGCTGCCCCCGGAAAGCCCTCCATGTGTCCTCCCTCTCCCTCTGCAACTCTGACCAGCTGGGGCGGGAGCCTGCCCTTAACAGCCCAGAAAAGCCCAGCTCTGGGTGTCAAACGCGATAGTGCCCAATGGACGTGACTCGCAGCCAGCAGAGCTGGGGCCCGAGAAATAATTTGCTTCCCCCCCAAACAACCTTACAACTGCTACCGTTTCAAATGCTCCTGGGTGATTGTTCCGTGTATAAGAACCAAACGCACACCATCCTTCTAGAAAATGCAAGGTCTGGACAATAGTAGGGTTTTGTTGTTGTTGTTAAAAATAAATATATGTTTGGAACCAATAAATATGTTTTAGCTGTGGCTCCTTCTTTCTCTTTTGTTTGATCCCCTTGTGACTAGAGGAGAGTCTTGTTCAGACACTATTCATTCATTTTCATCGCTTTTTTATCTCTTTGGAGTACACGGCATTGTCCGGGAACAGGAGCTTATCTGGCCTGTGCTTCCTTTCTCACCTGTAAAAGCGGCAGCACGGCACAAGTCACCTCGAATGCCCTCTCCAGCTGCTCCCGTTCTCCCAAGTGCCACCCCGCCATCAGGGTGAGGGTGAGGTGGGCGCGGGTCCCACCTGTAACTCCCAGTCTCGATACCGGGGTCAGCGGAGACTCGGGGAGCTGTGCCGTAGCGCTTCCCCTTTATTCCTAAGCCTCTTGGAAGAAAGGCTGTCCTGACAGAATGGGCTTTTTCATTTAGGGTCTTCAGATTCAGAACACAGCCAAGAGCACAGTGAGACAGAGCACCCTGTGGAGGTGCGACGCATCTCCGTCACGAGTGGGGACTCAGGAGTTCTGCCACCTGCAGCTGTGTGGCCTTAGGACAGTAGCCCAGTCTCTCTGAACTCAGCTTCCCCATTCTGTAAAAGGGAGCCAGCAATAATTCCTATTTCTCACCAGGTTGTTCAGATATAAAACACATGCACTCAAACCACACCAAGTTCTCAGTAATTATCAGGAAAACTCCTCTTATTTGTAAATAAGCCAATACCACAGTGAATACATGAGTGCCCTCCTTTGGGGGAAGTTCCCACTTCTAACAACAGGACAATACATTCTGAAAGTACTACATGGTAACCCCACCTGGGACATCAGCGTGACATTCCTTCCCATGCCGACCCATCAAAGCCCTGGTGTGTGGCCTGGGACTTCAAAATGCCCACATTCAGAAAGCCCAGAGAGTGTGGTCTCAAACGTTTATGGACAGCATAGCATGCAGTTTTTTTTTAACTATCTGTAATTTTAAGTTTTGCAAATTTAAAGACACATCATTACCACAAGTAATCACAATTATGCAATTACAAATAATCATCTTGCCCAACTCACCCACCCATAAAAGCCACCCCTCCCGCTGGAATGTAACGTGCTGTGTGGCCCCGTCTGCCAGGGAGAGCCGGTGCAGATCTGTTTCAGCAAGGCCACCTTGCACCTCGTGCTGTTCTCAGCAACCCACAGAAAAAATGTCATTTTCAGGAAGGGAATTGATCGCTTCTCTCACATTTCCATTTGTGTCAGATCATGCTGGGGCCTCATTCCACACTTTCTGCTCTTCTCTGTTGCCTCTGGAGAAGAGGAGGCTAAGGACAGCCCAGGGGGGCCGGGGCTGGGGGTCCTGGGCATTGAATTTAGTGGAAAGGCTCCTGGGAGCCTCTCCCAAGCTTCTGGAAAGGGGCCAAAAGGTAACGGGTCGTCGCCCAATCCCTCAGCGGTGAGCAGCCCACACACGTAGACAGATGGGTGTGTAAACTCTTCGGAGGGGCAGCCGCCAGCCTGGACACGCGCCCTGAGCAGACCTTCTCCCCCCTGTCCCCGTGCCCTACCCAAGGGGACAGTGTCCGCTCCCTCCCCTCCCACCCTTTCTCTCTCTCCCCCCTTGGCTTGCTCCTTTCTGCTCCACCTCCCTCCTGACATCTCTGTCCTGGCCCTTCTGTCTCCCTCTACTGCCCCTTCTCTCCTTTCCTCCTTTCCTCCTCGCCCCCCACCCCCACTTTCTCTCTCCCCTTTGCCCTCTCCTTTCCTGTCTTGCTCTCCCCCTTCTCCTTCCCCTCCTTCCCTGTTACTTTCTCTCTCCTGTGCTCTTTCCACTCCCCCACCCTGGACGGCCCTGTGAGAATGGACGCCTGACTTACCTCTCTCCCCAGCCCGCAGCCCGGCCCCACACAGCTGCACTTCCGTTACCCAGACGCCCGTGCAGGTGGGCACACAAGGGTAAAACCTTCCAGTCCAAGTGCTTCTCTTTCTCTTTTTCATTCATAAGTCCAGTAACTTGGCCCTGCCCAGATGCTCTGGCCCCTTTCAAGGCCGGCCTGGGTGGGTGCCTGAGGTGACTAGTTTGGAGGTATCCTGTGTGTCCCCCACCCTCCTTCCAGCTGCCTTGCCCCTCAGCTGCCACCCTAAACTGACTCACTCAGAAGAGAACTGGAGGCGGGGTGGGTGGCACGAGGAGCTGCTGGGGCCCCCCGGGGGGACACCCACCCTGGCCGGCTCCGCAGTTTGCCTGGATACTCTTTGGAGTCGGGATGAGCTAATCAGAGCGGGCTGGCTGCTCGGCCCCGAGGGTGACCACTCTCACTGTGATCTGAGCTTCCTGGCCTATCTGGAAGGCCTGAATAGAAACTTCAGGTTCCGGGGGCCCAGCGATGCTGGAAGAAAGAGTCCCCTCTTCCCCTCGCCCTTCCAGGGCACGGCTTGGCACAGGGAATGGGTGCGCTTTGGCTGGAGAAGCCCACAGCGCTGGCTTGGCCAGGACGCAAGTCTGAGGGAGGCCCTGCTCACTGCGAAGACTTCGGGGAGGCCAGGGCCACGAGGCGGAGGGGGTCGGCTGGGGGGTCTGAACGGCTGGGGGAGCTGCGCCAGCGGGCTGGGCGCGCTCCGCTGCTGGGCGCGCAACGCCCGGGGCTGTCTCCACCTCTTCTGGCAAGTTGGACCTATGAGTGCGCAGCTCGACTTACAACTGTCGGGAGGGTGAGCGCGTGCGAGCGCCAAGGGGGCGCGGGACCCTTGCAGCGTCGCAGGACCCCGGCGGGGCGCCCACGTCCGCTGCCGCCGGAGAGCCCCGCGCCCACGCCCCCGCTCCGCGCACGGTGGAGGAGCCCCGGGGCCGTCCTGCCATCCCCGACGGGATGCCCGCTGCCATGCTCCCCCACATTTGCGTCCTGGTGCTTTGGGGAGGTAAGTACACCCTCCCCCCGCCGGCTGCCTGCCTGAGGTCGGAGGGGAGGGAGCTCGCCGTCCGGAGGTCCTGAGGGTCCTTGGGGACTGCTGTGCGCCCAGCGCGCTCTTCCCCGGCCTGGGCCTCGGCTGGCCGGCACCTGCAGCGCTTCCTGGCTGCTCTGGGCCCTGCGCGAGGGAGCCGGGTCACCGAGCCATGTGCGCGCCCCTGGGCAGAGTGCGCCGTCGGGACCGATCGCTAGGCACCGGGAGCAGCCCCGGGCCTTAGAGAGGGGCGGGGCTTCCAAGAAAATGCAGGAGGACCCCAGACCCACTGAGACCCCGTGGGTCACGCAGGACAGGGCCACAGGATCTGGTCTTGCCCACTGAGTCCTGGGCCCGCGGGTGCTTGGGGCTCGTGCCCTGCCGCAGCACTGGTGGAGAAGCTAGGGGAGGCTGCAGTGAGCCTGGGCGCAGGCTGGTGCCCAGCAAGCCTGACGGGGGTCCCGGTAGAGGAGGCAGAGCCTTCTCCGGGACTGTCTGCTCTCCTGCCGGCCCTTCGAGGGAATGGGGATGGACCAAACTCTGCAAATACCAGCTGACCATGATGTGCCACCATTGGCAAAACGACAATGTCAACTATAGTTGTGGTAGTGCGCCCAGCCCCGGGCCCAGCCCCAGGCCCCTCACATTGAGAAGGGTTAGAAATTCTGGCCCTGGACTCAGACAGAGTCAGACCACCTGACTCAGAACCCACACCCGCTGCATATCACCTGTGCGGCCTTGGGCAGGCATGTCCCCCCACCCCCAGCCTCAGAGTTCTCACCTGCCAGATAGACTTACAACACCACCCTCCCCGCCCCGCGCCACTCAGGGCTATGGGGAGCTTTAGGAGTGCGGGGAAAGCACCCGTGCTTGGTAAGCAGCAGCCGGCACAGGCTCGCAGGCCCTCCCCTGCACCCTACTCCATTCACAGGCAAGGAGCAAAGTCAGGTCTACCTACAGAAGCTCCTCCATCCTTGGCTTTTCTTTACAAGCCCAAAATTTTAAGCAAGATATCTGAGGAGAGCTGAAAATGGTCTGAAGGAAGGTCAAGGTGGGGGTGGGTTGGCAGTTTGGAGAATTGCAGGTACATCCATCAAAAGGGTGCGTTCATTTCAGCACAGCTTTCCTGCCAGAGCTGGAGACGAGAGGTTTGGCTGGAGAGCTCTCCTTGGGGCAGCGTCTTCCCTCAGTGCAGTGCAAAAACAGGCCGAGACAGCCTGCCCGTTAGGAGAGCAGGAAAGTACAGGTGGCGGGAGGCGGAGGCGACAGGGTGGCGGGAGGAGAGTCTGCACTTTGCTTTGGGTGCTGGGATGGGAAGGCTGGGACCCCTGTGTCTTTACGCTCCCCTCCACCTCCCAAGCGGAGCCGTCCTGTAGGAGTGGGACTGTCGAGAGCAAGAGCACAGAGCACCCCACGAACCCGCAGCGCGGTCACAGGGCAGGCCTGCTGTCTTTGGCAGGCCCTGAGCTTCCTGTCATGCCAATAAAATCACTGGGAGCTCAGCATGGCGCTCGTCTCTGGCAGTCCTGCTGCCTTGCTCCTTGGCCACCTTTCCCCACAGCAAATGAGACGGGTCCGCAGGAGAGAAGCCAGGGGCGCCCGTGGGCCCAATGGGAGTGGAGGAGGCCGCTCAGGAGGCCGCTGGCCCTCCATTCAGACACAGACGTTGGCAAGGGCTCCTGGAAGCTGGGCACCATTTTCCACTGAACACTATTTTCAAAAGTCCATCTCACCACTGGCTGCATCAGCACAGCAGGCAACAGCGGTCTTTGCTTTGGTGAAAGGAAACAGAACCCAGTTAATCCTTCAGGGACTTACACGATTCAGGCTCCTGAGCTGAAGCAGGTCTGAACTTCATGCCTCCTAGTTCGGAAACTGTGTAGAATGGCGCACCAAAGGCCCCACCGAGTGAATCCACATTGAGTCTGAACGCATGCACGCCTGAGCTTCTCTACCTCAGCACTGCTGACACTTCGGGCCAGATGCTTCTCTGTGTCGGGTGCCGTCCTGTGCACACTTAGCAGCACCCTGGCCTCTACCCACCAAATGCCAGTGGCAGCACCTCCCCAGTCCTGGCAATCAAAAAGGTCTCCAGACACAGCCAAATGTCCCCTGGCGGGGCAAGATTGCCCCTGGCTGAGAACCACTGGTGTGGCTAGATCAAATTCAACTGGTAGCTTTTCAGATGAATCTGTCAAAACCACTAGGTTCCCTGGATTCTGTTACTCTTGATCTGAGCAATCAGGAAATCAGAGGCACAGCGGGCCCCAAGACAAACACCACCACGTAGGTCCGTCTGCTTTGGGCACTGGTTTCTCCCATTCGTTCTCCCTCCCTCTTGTCTGTGAAAATGTCCTCTTCATGGAGGACAGGGGCTGGGCTGTGGGTAAGCGCAATTAGCTGCCCACCACAGCAGACCTTCCTTGAGCCCCATGGTGCCAGTCCAAGCTTTCAGCTTTGGTTTGCTCCACAGCAATTTCTGGCTTTAAAAAATCTCCTTACTCAACAATTTATCCTTGAGGGGGAAAACGAGAAACCACAGCTTCTTTTTTCTTTCTCGTTTGTATTTTTTTTTTCTAATATCAGCCCTGCTTTTATCTCTAGCCATATGCTTTTCGATGGCAAGTTATCATTTAGAGACAGATTAATGAGAACAAAATGACAGGCTAATCCGTAATAAATTAGTTGTTGATGTGGGGGCTCCGTTTCAAAACCAAGAATAAAAACAAGGAAGAACATTAACTTAAATACACTCGTCTGAAAAGCATATGTGAATAGGGATTGGTAATTGTATTCATTATTTAAAAAAGAAAAAATTATCAACAGGAACTTGCCCTTACTTCATCGCAGACGGATCACGGCCAGCTGTCGCACTTGTCTGCTGACCGAGGCTGTGATCTCCAAATTCAAAATGACCAGCTCAAGGCAAACACAGCAGCTTCCTTGATTTCAAAACCATCTGGATGGCAAACCAGTTAGAAGCTACACACGAAGAGACATGTGTGCAATGTACCGGAAGTTAACTATGTCAATGACAGCTTTAAGCCAGAATGAGCCCCTGATAAAACCCCAAGATGCGGTGCTCACGGCCGAAGTCAGTCTGGAAAGTGAAGATCACAGCCCAGCACACAGGAAGGAAGGCAACCGAACTTGAGGGCAACCCAGCTGAGCGGGGGGACCCTAAGGAATGGACTAAATGCTGAGGTTGGCACAGGGGATGGCCGTGAGGCATGGCCAAGGAGTGGACACACACACACACACACACACGCACGCACGCACACCAGGGCTTCTCAACTTCACCACTATTGACATTCTGGTCCAGATCAATGTCTGTTGCGGGTTGTCCTGATTTCCTGATTGCTGAGAGCAAGAATGACAAAATCCAGCGAACCCAGTGGTGTTTGACAGATTCACCTGAAAAGCTACCAGTTGAGTTTGATCTCTCCATGGGGACAGCCGGAGGGACAGGACTGATGCCCAGCCAGGACCACCCCCCCTCCCACCCCCGTGCACCTGGAGACCCGCTGGGCTTGGCCGACTCGAATGCATGTTCTGTGCGCTCCAAGGAGCTCGAGAGCAGAAGCTTAGGTTTGGACGGACCTGTGTGCCCCTTAGCTCTGTCAGCTGCCTGCTCTGTCACCCGTGTCCTCATCAGGAAGTTGGGAATGGTGATAGCCCTGGCTTCCGGAGATGCTGGGAGGTTAAATGAGATGCTGTGGGGTTAGGTCCAGAGCCTTGTGAACCCTCTGTGTTACTGTGAAGTGCAGGCCCTGCACTAAACTCCCCAGCCCTGCAGAAGAAAGAGGCAGGCCTCTGCTCTCAGCCAGTCCCCAATTCAACTTGAGCTTGGGTGAGTCACTTAATATCCCTCTCCTCCTGGCGGGTGCTATATTTTTTTCCCACTCTGATGTTCCCAGGCGTTCTCAGGAACACTGTGACTATTGTAATGATACTGACAAGAGCGACAAAATTAATCATCACTCCTATTTAGTGAGCCCGGCTCGGCCCTTCTTGTTCACTGTCTCCTCCAATCCTCCAGCCCCAAGTGGGAATGACGGCAGCCCGCACTGCCGGGGTCGGGTGAGGTGGATCCAAGGAAAAGTTGTCTAGTGAGTTTCACTTCAGCGGAGGCATCTTGGGGCCTTGCTGTGTGTGCGCCTCTGGCCGGCGTGAGGCACTGAGGACAGAGGGGCAAAGCAGGCAGCTCCCTGCCTGTCTGGAAGTCTGCGTCAAATGGACAATTAAATCCTAAATGAGCAATGAATTCCCAGAGTCTGGGGGCATCTAGCTGGAACTGGCCGGGAGGTTCAGGAAGGCCTCCCTAAAAAGCTGAAACTTGAAAAGAGAGGAGGGTTTAGCATCCAGGGAAAGGGCTTGGCATGTGTAAGGGCCTGGATGGGAGAGAAGATAGTGATGTGGTCAGGGACCAGACAGAATGCCGGGGGGGCTTGGAGGGAGAGAGTGAGGGGCTAGGGGTGGATAAGGTCAGAGGCTGGCAGGGTCTCAGTCACGGAGGGCTGTGGAGGCCCTCGGGAAGGACTTGAATTTTATATCAAAGGCAATGGAGATCCCGGTGAAGTGTTTCCAGCAGTGGGGGAATGGGATGTCTTTGAAAGTAGTGAATTATCCCATCCCTGGGGACATCTAAGAACAAGAGGTGATGTGGTGGGTGGCGTTGGCTATGGAGTTGCCTGGCTTTGCTCCCAGCCCTGAAAGTCTCTGATTCTAAGAGCCCAACCAGGACACATGCTTTGAACTGTCATTACGTCTCTCACCAGCCCCTCAAATTCAATGTCTGCTAATAATGCTGGTAATGTGATGGGTTATACCAACCAGGGTCCAGGCTATCCACAGGCCCGGCCCAGCACACGCCCACGTCAGCCTTTGGGGCAGGTCCTGCTGTGGCCCCATCCAGCAGTGCCCCAGGATGAGGGCAGGGCAGAGCTCGCGGCCTTTCCCCAGCCCCTCCCGGGTCA